CATAAATGGTCTCAATGCAAGTAAAGTTTGGGCCTCCCATTGGTCCTCACTTCACCTAGGTTAGGATCAGTTACCCTTGATGTTATTATGTGTCCCCCCCCCACTCCCTTTCCTGGTAGTGTCCATCTACTGCCAATCCCTTTCTTGTAGTGTTATGATAAATGTGAAAGGTTCACTTATGAGTGAGAACATGTGGTATTCAGTTCTTTGTTTCTGTGATGGACCAACTCTAAATCCATCCAAGTTGCTACAAAGTCCATACTTTTGTTCTTTTTTATGGCTGCATAATATTCCATTGTGTATATGCACCACATTTTAAAAATCCAGTCCACTTTTGATGGGCAGCAAAGTTGGTTCCATGTTTTTGCTATTGTGCATAGGTCATAACCCCAAAAGCTCATGACATAAGAGATAAGATAGACAAGTGGGACCTCATCAAACTAAAAAGCTATTGAAAAGCAAGAGAAATCATTAAGAAAATGAGGAGACAGTCAACAGAATGTGAAAAAATATTTGCCAACTGTATATGTGACAAAGGCCTAACATCCAGGATCTACAAGAAACTCAAACATGCCAAAAGGAAAAAAACAAACAGTCCTATTAAAAAGTGGGCAAAAAACATGAATAGACACTTCTCAAAGGAAGACATATGAGCAGATGCATGAAAAAGTGCTCATCCTCACTAATCATCAAAGAAATGTAAATCAAACCACATTGAGATACCACCTAACTCCAGTCAGGATGGCCATCATTAATAACTCAAAAAACAACAAATGCTGGAGAGGATGTAGAGGAAAAGAAATGCTTCAACACTGTTGGTGGGAGTGTAAATTAACACAGCCTCTATGGAAAACAGTGTGGTGATTTTTAAAAGAGCTAGAAATTGACCTTTTATACGACCCAGCAATCTTCTTTCTGGGAATATACCTGGAGGAACTAAAATCATTCTACAAAAAAGGTACCTGTGCATGCATGTTTGTTGCAGCACTATTCACATTTTTTTCTTTATCTTAAAGTAACAGAAGTTCCCTACTTTGAAATACAATCCTTACATTTAGCTCCCTCAAAATTACTGTGTGACTTCTCTACATTCAGGTAGTTTGATTCTCATGCTTCAGAATGAGCACATGGGCTCTATAATCTGGTAAATACTCCAGCATTCCTAACACAGCACGGATTTGGCACTTCAGCAAAATGACTTTTTCCTTCTTCCTGGCTTCATGTACAAGGTGTTGAACACAGGCTAGAGCACCTCAGAGGACAGTCATCTCAGAGAGTCCTTGCCATCTTCTAGGCTTAATGGAAGCATGTGAGCCGAGCCACCAAGGCACAATCACTTCCTGCACAACCACATCTTTAGTCAAGACAACAAAGAATGATGTAAATAGCAACATCAAGATTCTTGCTTGTCAATAATTCTAAGACTCTCTCTGTCTACTGTGGCATCAGGATATTAGGATCAAAATAATTCAGCTCTGGATATTACCTGGCTACATTTCTTAAGTCTAGTTTAACATTTCTTTTGAAAAACTGATACCAAACCAGATATGATGACTCATGCCTGTAATCTCTGCACTTTGGGAGGCTGAGGTGTAAGGACTGCTTCAGCCCAGGAATTTAAGACCTACCTAGGTAACATAGCGAGAGCTCATCTTTACACAAACAAAAAATTTTTAAAAATTTTAAAAATTAAGCAGGCCTGGTGGTGCATGCCTGTAGTCCCAATTACTTGCAAGGCTGAAGTGGAAGGCTCCTCTGAGTCAGGGCTCAGAGTGGAGGCTAATAGTGGAGGTATTGCATTTTGTGATGAAGTTTGAGATCTTTTCAGTTTCATGTTTTATTTCCATTTAATTTCATTCTCAACATGATGATGAGCTGCTAGCTACCGAGAGAAGAAAAAAATAGGGTTGGCTTTCATGAACCAAGCTCTGTAGCCGGAGGTGCCACTACATATTCTGGATTTAGGATGGGCCTTATATCCCATGACTGACGTCCTTGTAAAAGAAAGAAAATGGAGACTGGAAGTACAAAGAGGAAAAGCCATGTGAATGCAGAGGCAAAGATTGAGTTACACAGCTACAAGCCAGGGAGCCCTGAGGGTTGTCAGCCTCCTTAGGAGAGAGATATGCAGCAGATTCTCCTTCAGAGCCTCCAGAAGGAAGCAACACTGCCACCCTGTGATTTTGGACTCCTGACCTTCTGTCAGAGAATAAATTTCTGCTGTTTTAAGCTACCAAATTTGTGATAACTTGTTAGGGCAGCTCTAGGCAACTAGTCCACCCACACAAAGCTATTTAAAGCTACCCTGAATAGAAAGGAGGTAAAAGCCTCTGAGGTAACGTCTGCTTTGCTAATTTCATGCTGGAAACAAGAGGTAATACCTCCGAAACCCTCTATGTATAATAAGAAGGTGATGACTTTTCAACTTCAAAGTGTGGTCAAGCACAGCTGATGAACCTTCACAGCACACTGTGTCATATAGGGAAGTGTCATTAATTCCACTTCAGAGAATACAGCATAAAAGTCCTTGCCTGATGTCATCGAAGGGATTCTTCATAGAAGGCTTAAAAATAGACTCTTCTTAAAGTAAACAGTAGAAAGATGATTTTCCATTGGTCAGGAGTAGGACAAAAGGATTGGCAAAGGAGATTTACTACACAAATATTTTATGATGCCTTATTTCTGAAAATAACATAAAATGTAAAAGCAATGACATTCATGGTGCAATTTGTCTTGAAGTCTTGAAGTTTTATTACCCTTTACTTGCTTCCGCCACACAATTTCTTGTTGTCCTGTTGTGAAGCAAAAGTTTTTCTGAAATAGTTGCATTGACCGATCAGACTTGCCTAGGTGGTTTCCCATGAAGTCTTAGAATAGGAATACTTCAGCTATGGTTTCTAGAAAAGACTTAGGAGATTTGAGTGCACAGTGGTGACCAAAACTAGAATTTCTAGAAGAAGAATGCTAGCTCTGCTCTGTCTTGTCATTCACAGACCATGTCTGGAAAGGTTGCATTGTGTACAGCTAAGTATTTAGAATGTTCTTACAAAAAAAGGCCCTGGCAATGGGAAGAAGGGTCAAAGTTCTCAAAACAGCAACTCTGGGATACTAGGGGATGGGGTGGTTAACCTGGAGAAGAGGAGACTCAGAGCCACAAGATGGCTGTCACGAAGTATCTGTAAGAATGTTTTGTGAAAGAGGATTAGACATTCCCAATAGTTCAAAATTACATTGCAGCACCATATTACTAAGAAAAGCTAGTGGAAAGCCAGAGTTGTCCTATGATTCCCCCACCCTTAGGACTACACAAGCAAAAATTGGTAAATTACTTTGTAGGGTTGCCATAGACATTGAAGTTTTCTTTTAAATCTGTTATCAGTCAAATCTGTGGTTTTTCTCATTTCAATGTAATAGCTTTTAGGTCTCTAGAATCTGAAGCTCTGATCCTGAATCTATAAAATGTGGATGATTTCCATGGATCTAAGATCAGGAATTATTTTGCCACATAAAGAGTTGAAAACTCATAGGAAGAGGAAAGTTAAGTTGTCTAAATATAGTGGAGGTTTATGTGAAAGGAATGTTGAACCATGAGGCCCACGTAAGGTAGCTCTCTTTGGAAATGAATAAGTAATATGATATAAATAGATTATATATCCTGTTAATTTGAATATGTTATATTTTCAGTTAGAATAATTTTTAACAATGGACCAGAGGGAATTGGGTGTGAATATTTGGGAGGTGTTATCCTAAGTAAGCAAGAATGAAGTATCTAGGTTCGGTGAGAAAGCCAGGTGTATTAGTTAGGGTTCTGTAGATAAACAGACCAATGGATCTGTATATGGGGGGTGGGGTGAGGGAAAAGAGAGTGTGAGAGGAAGAGAGGGAGTTGGGGGGAAGAGGGAGGGAGAGAGATTTATTTTAAGAAGTTGGCTCACACAGTACTGGCAGGCTGGAATATCCTGAAGAGCTGATGTTGCAGTTCAAGTCTGAATATCATCTGCTGTCAGAATTCCCTCTTGCTTGGGGGAAGTCAGCCTTTGCTCTACCAAGATCTTCACTGTTGGACGAGGCCCACACATATGCTAATCTCATCCAAAAAGCACCATCCCAGAAACATCCAGAATAATGTATAACCAAATGTCTGGGACCAGTGACGCAGCCAAGTTGGCACATTAAATAAACCATCACACCAGGGGATGGCTCCTCAAACCAGATAATGCATTTGCAGAGTCATGCCACCTCTGAGGAATGAAGGATGTTGGTGAGCAGAGTTGGCTAACTAAGGTCACTGAAATCTTCCTACATTGTCCCTCTGCTATCTGAAGAACATTTCCAAGCCTAGATCCTTTAACTCTAGGCTAAGTAGATGAAGCCTTTGAAGTGAATGCTACCAGGATGCTATCCATTCAACCATACTTTGAACAACCACATCATTGCTAACAGGTCACATTTTCATCAAATGATGACATGGTACTGCTGTTCTTCTAAGGCACTTCAGAATCTAAAGAAAGGCACTCAGACAGAAATAACCTAAAAACTCATGCTTCTGAAATAGCTATTAGCTAAAACAAAACAAACAAACAAACAAACAAAAACCCTTCATTCTAGAGTGGAAAAGCTAATTGGACAAAAGGAATTATTATTTTCTAATCAACAACACTAAAAACTAAAGGACTTAGAAAAAATGAAGAGAGTGCTTGTTGAATGTTTAATCCTTCACTTTTATTATAAGATCCCCACCAATTTGGTAGAAAAGGAGTGGGATACAGAAAAAAAAAAAGAAAGAATGGGAGGGATAATATCAATATATCAAGCAATGCAAAGAGAAATTTAAGTTTTTTACCACACATAATAATTTCTTTGTGATTTTTGAAGCCAGATACTGTCTTGAGCACTTTATATACATTATTTCATTTGAGAAAAAAAGTTACTATAGGAATGTCACCATGGGTGTTCTATAATGTGTTTAATCTTTATTTATCTGGTGTGTTTTTAGAAGGCTAACTTTTCTCCATAGTTTGTAGTTCTGACATCTGGTCATCAGATACATCAGGGAGGCAAATATTAAATAGTAATTGTAAATAGCAAGTCATCTTCTCAAACCAAACCAATCTTGCTTTGAAATGTATTAAGGGTATGTAAAACAGCAGTTCACTGACAACAAAGAGAAGTACATAGAGATAATGCATGTTTGGAGACTTTACCAATGGTATCACAACCATGCACAGGTTGATGGCCATTGTTGCCAATGGAAATGGCAAAAACACCTGAAAAGAGCAAAATATTTAAAAATTAGATTTAAAAATCCATATATAATGCCTGCCTATTTATATAAATACAATTAAGTGATACAAGCTAATGTTAGAGAACAGGCTAAATTAGTTGTGAAGTTAGATAAACCTGGCTTAGAACGCAGATAAATGCCTGAGGAGAAGGGGATGTTGAAGATGCTTATCATCAAATTGGAGGAAAAGAACACCTAGCATTTGACTGTTCATTAATGGAAGTAACTATAACCACTTGCTGCTGAGGTAATCATCTGTTGATCTAGGGGTAGGAAATTGCTTAGAGGGAGTTTCTAAGGCCCATTGGAAATAACAACAATCTTCACTGGAAAATATCTCGATGCAGTAAGAAATTCATGACAAAAACTATCCTCAGACCCTCTGATACCCAGGCAAATATTGACAGGTAAGCATTAAGACTTTATAGGTTCAGCATATTAAGAAACAAAACAACCCAGACAAAAGCTTTAACCCAAACAGTTCTCCCTATTTTAAGTTTTGTTTTTGTTTTGCCAAAAAACACTTAAAGTCTCATCCTTGGTCCCTGCTTTGTGTTAAGATTGTAAGGGTTTTGCATAACATAAATTCAATAAGTGGTGTCTCTTGAGATATCTTTAAGAGACAGATAAGAATCTGTACCCCAAAGATATAATGTAAGCCATCACAATTGATTAAATCCTTTAATTAGAGGGTCATTAATTTGGAGCTTAAATAATTACGAATCTCCTCTCAGTCTGTCAAACACTCTGAAAAAGAAAACTTACCGTCTCCTAGCTCTTTATCAGTGATCAAATAATTGAGAGAGAAGAAACAGCAGTTATGTCGGCAAATTTTAGCCACTTCTGCTTAATGTTACTCTTGCCTCATTATTAAATAAATGAATATGTCATAGCTTATTTAATACATCCAAAATTTGCAGGAGGTAGGTATTATTCATTCTAATTTTATATATGAGGAAATGGAGGATCAGATGTTAAATAACAAGATGAAATTCGGCTGACAGTCAAGAAATTGTACTTGAGTCCAAGCTCTTAATGATTACCTTGTATTATTTCTTAGTGTATAACAACTTCATCATTAGTTCTTGACTGCTTTATAATTGTATCGAAGTAGAGTTAGTGATCTAAGAAAAGTGTGGCTCAGAAAAGAGTAGAGGATGGATTTAAAAGACACAGAATGTGAAACCAAGCAAAGAGCAAATGTTGGGGAGAAACCACCAAAGCAGAAACCATCAACCCTGCTCTATTAGACCCCACCCCCATGTGTTCTCTGAGCTTCCTCTGGAAGCCACTGTGTAGCAATAATCATGGCATGGTTTTTAGTTTACCTGACTGTTCACATAGACTATAACCTGTGCAAAGGCAGAAGTCAAGTCTTAATCCTTTGTGCACCCAGAATATCTAGCAAGGTGCTTAAAGTACAGTTACTTTACAATAATTGGCATTCAAATACACAACAGCTAAGGAATGGCTTGAAGGAAGAGGTAGAAGGAAAGACTGAAAAGGAAGGATGATTATATATCAACCAAAGGTGGTGATGAGAATGCTGCTTTCTTTCTCCCAACATTCTTTCATATGTTTTGTACTTAGAGTTAAGCACTCCAAAGAGTCTGTCTGAGTTAGAATCTTGGCTCCATTCCAAGCTGTGTGAACTTGGGCAAGTGACTTAACTTTTCTACATCTGTTTCCTCATTTGTGAAATGGGAATAACAGTAGAATTTACCTTTTGTATTATGGAGGGGATTAAAGGTGACTATCCAAGCAAAGATTTGGACTTGTTACATAGCAACCAAGACTGCTTTATTTTTCTGATAATCAGAGTGTCAGGGCCACCTATCTCCAAAAATATTCTTATACTATCAAGTTTTTGCTTATTTCCTCTTCTATGATTAAAGGGCTGTATAACCTTCTACAAAATTTTTTCTCATCCAGACTTAAAGTAAGTTTGACAGAAAAGATGGAATGAAGTTGAAAAGATGGTATTTATCAATAATCAAAGTAAGCTGATATTTCTGGACAGTTGGTGTTATCACTTATGACCTGACCTTGTGTCTTCTGTTTTTCATTTGCTAACTCAGACCCTGACTATGGAAGACACCAATGTGCATAACAGCTACATAAGTAGACCAAGTAATCTCTGATCAAAAGATTCATAGTGGTCTGTCGAACCACCCACAGAACTAGTTTTTTTTTTTTTTCTTTCAGGAAGTCATTGAACAGAACCTAAGCGATTTAATATTGAGTTAAAACTATTCAGTAAAACTTAAACCCAAGGCCAGATTAACTTTATGTTTCACAATTGTTGAGTAGTAAAAAGATTTATTAACAGATGCTCTGAATATAATCTTACAGTTATATGCAATATCTTTTTTTTTTTTTGAGTTAGAGTCTCACTTTGTCGCCCAGGCTGGAGTGCAGTAGCCGCTCCCGGCCACCGCAGCCTTGACCTGTTGGGCTCCAGCAATCCTTCCACCTCAGCCTTCCAAGTAACCGGAATTACAGGCATGTGCTACCACTCCCGGCTAATTTTTTGATTTATTGTAGAGATGAGGTCTCGCTGCCCAGGCGGGTCTCGAACCCGCGGACTCAGGCAATCCACTCACCTCAGCCTCCCAAAGGCGTGGGATTACAGGCTGAGCCACCGAGCCCGACTATGCAATATCTTTTATTTCACACAGAAAAAAAAATGAGAAAACCCACCTTTACCTTATAAGGTATAGGTTGATGGGGCTTCTGGTATCTCCATTTTAGAATTCCTATCATTAATAATAAAGACCAAAAAGAAATTACAAAGAAAAGATAGTTTATCAAATTAATTAGGTTTGTTAGGACAATCGCAAGAGATCCCATAGTGATGAGCAGTAGCACAGGTATTAATGGAGAGGAGTGACTATTAAGGGTATAAAATAGCAAAGGCAGCTGGCCTTGTTGGCTTACAATATGTATGATTCTTGATGATTCCAATACATTAACCAGGAGGTTGCTAAATAATGAGGCAGAAATAGCAAAAGGCATAGCCCATGCTAATGAAGGGATAAATCGATCTACCCATGTGACAGCCACAGCATCTGCAAAACAACAAAAATACACAAAAGAAAATGGTGCTAATAGGTACTAACGAGAAACCTTTTACTATCATTTCAAAATGAAAACAGGAAGTTTAAAAAGTTATTAATGAAATTTAATTTTGTTTAACTTGGTTGCTTATTTCCTTATTTATGTTTTCATTACACCTTATACATATGCTAATTTTATCAGTTTAAGTCTTTCAATAGACCAGGAGATTTTGAGGGCAAGAATCATACATTTCTTTCCTATCAAACTAGTACTTCACCCTGTGATAGACATATAGTGAATTTTCAATAAGTACTTGTGAAATGAATTAATTTTGTCGAGCGGATGATTGAATGTATGCTTATTTTCTTTCTTTCTTGTTTTTTGTTGGAGTCTCTCTCCATCACACAGGCGGGAGCGCAGTGGCACACACACCACCACCTCAGGGTCAACCTGCTGAGCTCTGGCGATCCTTCCACCTTAGCCTCCCAAGTAGCCGGAACTATAGTCGATGGCCACCACGCCCAGTTAGTTTTTTATTTATTGTAGAGACGAGGGCTCGCCTAGTTGCCTGGTCTGGTCTCGAACCTGCGGCCTCAGGCAATCCACTCTCCTCGGCCTCCCAAAGTGCTGGGATTACAGGCAGAGCCACTGAATGCGGCCCTTATTTTCTAAACTCACTTACAGAGTATTGATAGTCACATTCAGGGTCAAAAAACACAAGATCACTACTGATGCAGGAATAGCCCTTACCCACATCGTGGTGCAATTTGAAATACTTAACAGAAAAAATAAACAAAGTGAACAGAGAAAATAAATTACACATCAATAAAAATACTTAAGACATTTCGGGTTTGTCCGTAGACCAGTAGTTTTCAACTGAAAGTAAATTTTCTCCTCAGGGTTATTTGGCAAGTTCTGGAGACTTTTTTGGTGGTCACTACTAGGAAGGCAGGAGGTTGCTACTGGCATCTAAGGGTAGAGGACACTAAACATCTTGCAATGTACAGGACAGCACTCTACAACAAATGATTATATGGCATAAAATGTGACTAATACTGAGACTGAGCAACTTTGCTATAGACCACTTGCTATAGACCACCTTTTAGATATTACCACCTTTTAGATATTTTTCCCTAAAGCTGAGAAACTTTATGAACAATAATTTAACAAATGTCAGTAGGCATAAAAAGCACCAATGGAGAAAAGCATCCATTGTTCATGAGAATTTCTTAAGTTCAATTCATGTTATGTAGCCATATGCTAGGACAGATCGTTCAGTCACAGAGAAACAAGATCTCTGTTCTTCAGTGGAATGAGCATGGCAGGGTCTGGTGTCCCTGAAGGTTGGTGTCTTTGGAATCTATGCTCTTGTGTCAACGTTGGTGTTCAGCAGAGCCTCTGGGATACTAACATAGTGGCTTATAACAAATGGTAAGACTTTGCTAATGTGATAATATTAAAATATCACTAATAGTGTTTGTTGCTAAAGCTCTTTTTATTTTTAACCCATTTAAAATAGCATCAAGTGTCACTTCACTTTTCTCCTTAGTGCTATTCTGTAATACACGGTCTTTAAAAACAATCTCCTGTCTTCCTTATCGTTCCTTTCAAATATGGTATCGTTGGTTGTTCCTCTTGGACATCCATACCTCTATACCTTACCCATTTTCAGAAATATTTTAAGAACTATTTCTTTCCAATAATTCAAAGGAAATTGTCCTTTGATTTCCTAGTGTGCATTCCATGAACCTGATAGGTTATGATGTGAGGAGGGCTAAGAATAGCTCTGTCAGTTCTGGCTGGTGAAAATTATACATCTTTCTTTGTAACTTTTAGCTCCTTCTCACAAGTGGTTGTTTTTATTTTTTACTGCTTTCCATATGCTGTTACTTTTCTCTAAAAATTATTTCATTTATTCTTTGGATAAAAAGTAAATTAACACCGAACACAAAAATAAATGTTCTTCTTCTCATCAGTCCCTCATTCATGCAGTTCAAACTTAACTGCTGATAACATCTGTTTGGATCATCTTTCAGAAATTGTCTATGACTATACAGGAATCTGAGAGGATTGTAACATGGGTGCGCACTTATGTGTGTCTCTGTGTGTATGTGCTATGTGTGTATGCACATGTGCATGCCCACTTAGACTTGCTTTTTATACTTTCCAACATATGTTGATCATGTCAGAATATTTGCATCCATTTAATTATTTTATAATTATATAAATTCTATAATGAATTATAAGAATTCTATAATGAATTCTTAGTATTTCATTATCGAACTCTAAATTAGTTTATGTAATTATTTCATATTGGTGGTTTTGTAGGTTCTTTTCAATTTTTGTGAATATAAAATATGCTTGAGTGAAAACCTTCATACCTTCAATATTTGATAATTGCAATTTTCCTCAGAGTAAATTCTTGAAAGTGGGACTTGTGAATCCAAAGTTATATATACATTCTTAAATAAGAGTAATATTACAACATTACTCTCCACACACAATTGTATTAATTTATCAGTGAGTCTAAAATTCTCCCTTTCTTTTCAAAATTCTTTGGCACTCCTGGGTACTTGAGGCCAGCTACTTTCGGGCTGCTTCTTGGACAGAGAAACCTTCTCAGCATCTGTTTCCATACATTTTATTTGCTGTTTGAGATTATCTCCAGCTTGAAGTATGACATGAAACTCTCGAGAACAACAAATGTGTGTATCCCTGTCTGCAGTGTGCAACAGGGCTTCAGGAACGGTGAAATCCTCAGATTTGATGCTGGAACGAGAGCTCCTCACTGAGACATTTTCACACACCTTGTTCTAGAGGGATATCCTTGCCTCTCAGTGGTAAGTTATTTTTTCTTTCTTAGAGAAAAACTCATGAAGAAATAAGTCAGAGCTCTGACACTGACACTGACAAAAACATTACATGATTATTAATAACATTATTTCTTTCTCTGTATAAACCATGAATATTAAAATCTAATATTTATCACAACTTGGTGTAATTTTTTCAGTGTCCTCAAATGAAATGTACCATCAAACTTATGCCACATAATAGGTGGTCTATATTCTTTTGGAAACTATACATCTTTTAGATACATCTGTTTGATTGGAAAAATAAACTCCTTCATCCTTAAAATTCTTCAATTTAAGAACCTAATTTTTTTGCTTAAAACTTTCCCCCTCATTATACAAATTATGCACTTTATTAAAGAACATTTGGAATTAAGTGCAAAAATAAAGTAAAAATCACCCACATTATCAACCCAGCTGATCCTCATTGTTTATTGTTTACTTTCTGTTTTACATCATTGTAAACATCCTGCCTTTTCCCTCATTCTTGCATTATGTTGTCCCTCTACTTCAACTATCCATTGACATCATGTTTTACAAAGCTCAGAGTGCACTGTTTTATCGATTTCCATAATTTTAAAAATTTATTTCAAGCTATTGGATATTTTGGTTATCTTCAGTTTTTTGCTATCATATGTAACGCTGTGATGGCTGTCCAAATACATACATGCTTTGTGTGTAGCTCTGATTACTTTCTTAACTGCCTAGTACAATAAAAGTGCAGATATTTGGATTCAAAAATATTAGTTCAGAACTTTAAAAGTTTAAGGATTATATGCCTAAAAGAGTAAGCTCTGTAACCAAAGTACAAGTGATTATGATCAAAACACTTCATGAGTCTTTCACAATGCCAAAACTATTGTTTTGCGGAACAATTGCTTTTGTTGAACAATTGTTTTGCTGAAGAATTGCTGAACCATTAGGATACACCAGAGGAGATATTCGTAACTGTTTAACAATCCATGTGGCCAGAGTACTAGCAGTCATGAGAGGTGCCAGCTTCAACGAAGTACATCATTTGCACTGACTGACCAGCAGCCCCTGCCACACCCATAATTAACTTTGCAAATTTATTATTTACATAAGCAAGGTAGTTAATAAACAACTGCTTATCTGATCTAGCTTTGCATTTTCTGTGTTCCCACAAACACTCTGAATCTTGGCTATATTTGGTTTACAGGTCCCTAAGATAGCTAGTTCATTAGGAATCAACACAGACACCACGTGACAGCATCCTGCATGACAGTAACATAAGAATCGAGGCAACATTTATCAGAATTTTATATCAAAGCCTCCCCTAGAATTATCTCTAGCGCCTCAAAGATTCATCAAAACAATAATGGCTGCTCAGATGAGATTAGTCCTAAAGATACTAGGTGACTGATTTTTCTGAGAAGGGGGTTTAATGCTGGTTTGAGGAAATTACTGATCTTCCACTTTGTCATTTCTTTACAAATTTACGTTTATTCCTTGAATCTGTTACTTATTTTTAAATGTATGTTTCTTTAAGATTTTCTTATTGATTTATTTTTATTCTAGAATTTTGTTCCTAAAATGGTTTTGTTTTTAATTCAATTGTAGTCTCACTCTGTCACCCAGGCTGTAGTCTCACTCTGTTACCCAGGCTGGAGTGCAGTGACTGGGTTCAGACGATCCTTCTGCCTCAGCAATCCAAGTAGTTGGAACTAAGTCATGCGCCACCATAGCTGGCTAATTATTTGATTTATTTTAGAGGCAAGGTCTCGTCACGTTGCCCAGGCTGGTCTCGAACCCCTGAACTCAGGCAAACCTCTCACCTCATCCTCCCAAAGTACAGGGATTATAGGTGTGAGCCACGGTGCCTGGCATGATATTTTTTCATCAAGTTTCCAATATGTTCAGGGCTCTTTCTCACCATAAATTTTAGAGTTATTTATGGTAAACAACTGCATTATTTTACAATTTAATACATCTACATTATACACAAACACGCACCCGCGCATATATATATATACGTTTCCACATTACCTGAAAAAGGCATAACCATGATTAACTATGAATCTCTTTTCTAAGCCAAATCATCCTCTTTGGTCATCTGTTATTTTCAAAAACTACAAGTTGACTTTATACAGAATGATAAACAGTAAATAGCAATTCTGACTGGTAATGTGACACTTAAGATATGCTGAAAGGACCAGTGTTTTATTTATTATTTTAGTCATTTGCATACAAACCTGAAGAGAGAATTTCCCTGGGTATCAGAACAGTAAAGTAGGAAATGTTAACCAGTAAATAAACAATAGTCACCAGAAGTAACCCAGTAAATATGATTTTGGGAATTGTCTTTTTGGGTTTCTTCAGCTCCCCTATAACACAAAAAAGAGAAAAATCAAAATTGGTAAAAATTATTTCTTAAATTCATCTCTTTCTAGGTGATTTTTTTTGCATGTATTTGTGGACTACAAACATAATTTTATGTGTACAGATTGTGTGATGGTCAAGTCAGGGCTTTTAAGGTCTCTATCACCTGAATAAGGTACATTGTATCCATTCAGTAGTTTTTTTTGTCATCCACTCCCTTTTACCCCTTCACCTTTCAAAGTCTCCATTGTTCATCATTCCACTCTCTGTGTCCATTTGGACACATTTTTTAGCTCCCACTTATGAGTGAGAACATGTGTTATTTTGTCTTTCTGTGCCTGACTTGTTTCATGTAAGATTATGGCCTCCAGTTCCATCCATGTTACTGCTAAAGACATAATTTCACTCTTTTAAAAAGTTGTATAGTATTTTATGGTATATATTATATATGGGGTGTGTGTGTGTGTGTGTGTGTGTGTGTGTGTGTACGTATGTAAAAGGAGGTGGATGATAAAAAAAGGTGATGGTTATCTTAAAAGTTCCAATTTGACCACCACACAATCTATGCACATCACTATATATATATATTTATAATATATATATGCCTTATATATATGCCATATAGATATATATATGTGCCACACACATATATGCCACTTTTTTTTTAAATTTAATCATCCATTGATGAACATTAGGTTGATTCTATATTTTTGTTATTGGGAATAGTCCTGCAATAAACATACAGGTACAAGTATCTTTTAAATATATAGATATTTTTATGTCTTTCCCTGTAGTAGAATTGCTAGATCAAATAGAAGCTCCATTTTTAGATCTTTAAGAAATCTCCATACTGTTTTCCATAAAGGTCATAGTTATTTACATTCTCACCAACATTGCTTCATGTGCCAAGGATTGCTCTGGATTCTTCTTCCTATCCACTTTGCCACCACTACCACATGTACACACACACACACACACACACACACACACACACACACACACACACACATTAACTGACTGCTATACACCCACTCCCTAATTTGGTTCTAAATGAAGAAAATGAGGAATTTTTCTTCACTTTCTCCCTAGATGGTAAAATTTCTGGAGAAAAACATAAGGATAAAAAAATAAAATCTGAACCCATAAGGCCTGTACAGTTTGAAGCCTACTAATATCTTTAGCCTTTAGTAGGTACCAGAAACTGAGTTTGGGTAGTGGGAATGCAATAAGAAGCAAAAACTACATGGTGTTTAACCTCAAGAGGAGGAGCTATACATTTAATAAAATAATCCCATAAATAAAAGTTAAAAGTGTGACTATGGTTAGTACTGTGGGGATCTAGTATATGACAATTTGATTGTCCCTTTTGTTTCTGTATTTTATACATAGACTGACTTCTCTCAGTTCCTCAAAAATGTCATCCTCCTTCTTGAATGTGGAACGTTCTTTTCTTCCTAGTTGCCAAGATGATCCCTAGTCTCCCTTCACATCTCAACAAAATGATTACTTCTTCTGGAAAAATAGGAGAGGAAACTCTCTCCTTGTTTAGCAAAACTGTCCTATTATACATTCTCATGTTATCTGTTGAAAGGAGTTAAAGAGTTGGTCATCAATTATCTCTCTCTGTAGGCACTTTGCCATTCTTTTATGCCACTCTTACAAGGAAAAAGAGAAAAAGATAATTTAGTATCATATATAGTGGATATTCAAAGCCAGTTTTATTTTCAAATATAGTCCATTTGTCATTCTATATTCCCCAGTTTTTTCATGCTCTGAGAATTGCTCCCTGGCACAAAAAAATGAATATCTATGGTCATGTGTATGCAGTGTGACTCTATACCCTGCCCACTGACAATAGAACCACGTACAGGCATCAGATCCCCTCGAAGCAAAACATTGCCAACATATGAGAAGATTTCTCTCAAAAATTTGAACCAAACATCAAAAGAAAAGCAATGTAGTAGTGGAAAAAAAGAAAGAACGATGAGAAATCTTGTTTTTTTTTATTCCAAGAGCTTCCTTATTTCCTGTTGCTCCTGGAGATTCATTGCTCAGCTCTTTCTTAAAATACAGCTTAATTCCTCCAATAAGTTCCCATTTTATTATTTAAGCTAATGTGTGTGAGGTTTGGTACTTAAAACCAAATCTCGCCGGGCTCAGTGGCTCAGCCTGTAATCCCACACCTTTGGGAGGCTGAGGTGAGTGGATTGCCTGAACCCGCGGGTTCAAGACCCACCTGGGCAGCGAGACCTCATCTCTACAATAAATCAAAAAATCAGCCGGGTGTGGTAGCGCACGCCTGTAGTTCTGGCTACTTGGAAAGCTGAGACTGAAGGATCGCCGGAGCCCAGCAGGTTGAGGCTGCGGTGGCCGGGAGCAGCCACTGCATTTCAGTCTGGGCGACAGAGTGAAACTCCAACTCAAAAACAAACAAACAAACAAAAACCAAAAAAAACCCCCAAAACCAAATCTCTTTGACAAATAAATATCTATCCTTTGACATGTCTCAAATTCTTCCATCTGTATCTGCCCACAGGTTGAATGTAATGCCTGGGGGGTACACAAATAGAACCTGACAAAGCTCTTCAAGATTAAAGAATCAAAAAGCTCTAATTTTAACCCTGCCTGTACCATTTACTAGTTGTGGAATTTCTGGGTGATGTATTGGCTGTCAAGGTTTCAATGTCCTTACCTGCAGAGAGACTATACAGACAACAAAATTCCAATCCCAGTGTCTAGCACATGATGAGCTCTTACGAATGGCTGCTGTTGATAACTATGAGTATGAAAGCTCTGGACAAACAAAAGGGTAATTTTAAAAATTAACTATACATTCCTTTGGGACTTCGACTTATTTTACTATTTATTCAAGTTATAGAGAATGGTAAAGAATGTAATTTAATTTATAATAAAGGCCTATAATAGCCAGACAGATAGTGAATACCTTTAGGTCTTTTAAAGATGAGTATTTCTAGAGCATGCAATACCAGTCACCCACAAATCACTACTTTATAGGCAAAATGTAACTTAGAACTTAGTCTTACTTAAAATTTATTTAGTGAATTCACAACTGCAGTACATGCTGAAATTCTTCCAACTTTTATTTACTGCCAACTGCTTGTGAGGAATTCTATAATAATTTGTAGGCTAGTAAATTCTGTAAATTTATTTTCAACTAAGAATTATTAACTAACCAGTGAAACATCTCTGGCAATTTTTAATCACAAACCACATAAAAGAGTCATCTCCCCTCAGCTTTCTTTTTAAACTCAAAACAAATGGACTTGCTCTCATGCTCAAAGTTCACCAATGACCTCTTACTTTATCATTGAAGGTGCTCTGCTCAGTTCTCATACTCTTCGACTTCTGAAGCATTTAATCATGTTGGTTACCCCCTCTTTTTTGGAACACATTGTGAGTTTTCTTTGTAATTTTCCGAGTCTTCTCTGGCTTCTTCACTGGATCTTCTTTCTCTGTCTACTGCCGAAGAGTTGACATTGTCCAGCCCTCTGTCTCTAACTCTATGCCAACACAGCTTCTCTTTGTGTACTTACCTTAGTCTTCATATCCATCATCAAGGTGGAAACCGTTTTGCAGTCATTCAAGATAGTGTGCCATGTCTTATAACCACCCTGCATACTTTTGATGTCCACAACTTCTCTCATATTTTTCTAAGCTGGAATTGATTTCATTCAAATTGCTACCTTTTCCACTCAGTGACAGTGAAACATGACTTTCTTCTCACTAAATTTCCATAAGGATTATATTGTTCCCTTATGGCTATTCATTAAATACTTATTAAATACATATTAAACATGCGATTATTCATTTATAGATATAGAATTATAATAACTTTAAGCCATGATGTACTTTTTGTAGATTAAAAAAAAAAAAAGTAAGTCTGGAGAGGAAGAGGCACTTGCTATAGTTGGTAGGTGACAGACCAAAGTCTAGCTGCTGCCTCTTCAACTAAACTGTTAGCCTCTTTAAAGACTACATCTTATTTCTCTTGAGGAACTAGTACAGAATTTTAAAAACAGTCAGGGTTCGAAAAGATAGTTGCTGCTCTAATGATTTCATAAGTGATAGACACATTAGAAGGGTGATTGAAGATTAAAGAAAATTTGTTCAAGTTCAAGAGTCTGTGTCATTTAAATGTCAAGAAAAAGATTTGGTTAAAAAAAGATTGAAATTGAGAAAAAATGAAATAAAAGAATGGGAGGGGTTAGAAGGAAAAAAAGATAAAGAGCTCAAGGAAAGATTTGGAAATGATAAATCTCTTGTGACAGTGAAGGAAAGGGTCTTAAATCTAGAATATCCATGAGTCTTTTCGTTTTAAAAATACTAAAAGCCTAGTACAAGTGCCAGGCAAACTCTAGAACCTGTTGCTCTACCCCGTGGATCTGAGTGAGATAAGAAGGTGCTGTTCCACCTGGACATTCACTCAGAGCAGCTGCCAGTGGCGGTGCTGGCTGTGGACAAGGGCTCAGGGAGCAGCTGGGGAAGTTCCTTTTTCAGGTTCCCAGAAAACCCTAGCCTGGAGGAGGAGAAGGCAGGGAGACTTTTTCATGTAATTATGATCACAGATGAAATTCCCAAATAGTTATAGTTAATTTATAATTTGGTTAATTTTCCATTTAAATGCAGCCAGAATTGTGGTAGGGTGACTACTTTTATAATGTATATAGGAAACTTAATCAATTTATCATTAATTGAAATGCTTGCTGTGAAAAAGGCCAATTAGATTAAAATCAATTTGTATTGTTACATGAACCTTTAACATTACTTTATCAGTGAAAGAAAAAGAAGTTATAATAAAATATATAATATATTCCAAAAATAAATATATAAAAATAGTTAAGAGCCTAAATGTGTCACACCCAATCATAACAGAAACACTGCCTGACATTGGACCACTCCTGGATGTTTCATGGGTGGGGAATATTTTCACACCCCCAGCATCCACCCAATAACAGAAAGGAAACTGGAAAACCATGGAGCCCTATATCTGTGGTCCCAGAAAAGGATGTTGAAAGAGAGAAGTTGTTCAATCAAATAAGCACTTTGGAATCAACAGGAACAAATTAAGAGGAAGTGACAAGTGCAAGGCTGGCATGATCTGATTTAGAAAGTCACAAAGGAAGAAAAAACATAGAATCATTTAATTTAAAACTCAAAATAAAACAAATGAGTTATATTTCATATTGCATGCAATAAATCATGTTTGAAATTTTCTTTTTCTCAATGTATTTTTAATTATCTGCTATATAAGCGAAACTTGAACAATTATTGTAATGCTATAAGAAAAGGATTGGCAGTAGTGGGAAACTGCCGGGAAGAGGGCAGAGGAGCAGGATTGGCAGTAGTGGGAATCTGCCTGGGGAAGGGGGGTACACACCTCATCAGCAAGGTTACCTGCATACTGAACATTTGTATACCTAAACCTGAATTATACTCCACATCTTTAAAATAAAAAAATTAAAAGTTAAAAAAAATTACCTGCTATAAATGTAAAGCATCCCCCTCCTGAATAGGTAAAATATCCTTGGAAGATAGCTTCTATAAACTGGGAGGCATCTGGAAATTCACCATCAAACGCATTCTTAAATCGTTCTAGACTCTCCTTTCTCCCTCTCACCAGCAGTACCACGCCACTTAGGGAAATGAAGCTAAGTATTGATATTTTCAGCATTGTGCTAGCTATCTGAAGCCAAGTCACCTCTTTCACACCACGAACTTTCAGAATTCCCACAGTCCACAACAAGGCCAGTGCCAGACATTTCTTTGGCAACTTTGGAGTAGAGCAGCTGTGGTAAAAAGGCTGGATGCTGTACTCGGGGAGTAGTGCTTGGCTAGCAGCTATCGCTGGCCACAGAAACAAGGATGTCCAGAGATACAGGAAAGCGATGGAGGAGCCAAAGCATCTCTTGAGAAAATAATAGTGAGCTCCGCTGCATGGAAAGCTTATACCTATCTCTGCAAAGCAGAGAGTTGTCATCATGGACAATATGGCACAGACAACCCAAATACACAGGGAGAGTCCCACATTCATGCAGGAGTATGCCAGCACCCCTTTGGGAGACACAAAAATTCCTGCACCAATTATATTAACAATTAAAAAACCTTCAGCCTGTAATCCCGCGCCTTTGGGAGGCTGAGGTGAGTGGATTGCCTGAGCCCGCGGGTTCGAGACCCGCCTGGGCAGCGAGACTTCATCTCTACAATAAATCAAAAAATCAGCCGGGCATGGTAGCGCATGCCTGTAATTCCAGCTACTTGGAAGGCTGAGGCGGAAGGACCGCCGGATCCCAGCAAGTGGAGGCTGCGGTGGCCGGGAGTGGCCACTGCACTCCAGTCTGGGCGACAGAGTGAGACTCCAACTCAAAAAAAAAAAAAAAAAAACACAACAAAAACAAACAAACAAAAAAGACTTGTTCCCCAGTAATATCCAAAGACTCTCTTGAGCTGTATTTTCTTGTCTTTATCCATTGTAATTGAAAAATTCTATATAAAGTACAATTTCAAGATTTTCTTGCCTATATTGCTGAAAAGAATGTTCATGGATTCTCTGAAATAAAACAGTGCTGTCCGTTTTGTTTCACCTTTTCTAAGTCAAAGTCAAGTACAGCCTGGTTTTAATAATAAACAAAATATATGTGACACATTTCATTAAAATAGACTAAGATTATTTAGAGGGGTTAAGTTTGACTTGTCTTTTAATTATTATCAAAACAGTGCATTCAAATGGAAAAAAAGAACTTCCCAGAGAACAATGCACTATCTCGCCACTTGCCAAACACATTCCCAGTTCCTTCTTCTGGAAACATCCATTTTGAGCTATGTAAGGGTTTAGATCATTTTGGTGGTTGCCTTCCTAACTCTAAATAATATAAAAAAGACTTTGATTTCTGAATATCTCAGCTTTAGAAAGCAAATATTGCCCTCCTTCCATGAACCCTGAGGAATTAGCTCAGACATTTCTTGGGCAGCTTTGGGGTAGAGCAGCTGAATTAAAAATGCTAGATGCTATACAGAGGTAGGAACAGAGCTTTGCTAGCACATTATCCCTGGCCCCAGAAATAAGGATGTCCAGAGATTCAAGAAAGTGATCCAAAAACCTTAGCATCTTCTTGTTCACACTTTTTTTCCCATTCAGCTTTCAGGAAACAAAGAATTTACCTTTATCAGGCTTGTGGAGGTCAATTAGCAAAGCAGGAGAGTGAAATGCCCTGAAACAGAAGCCTGTCTTTTAACCAGTCATTCATTGTTCCGATAGCCTTGGTCACACATGGAAAGTTATGGACAGGAAGTACAAGAGAAGCCCTGACCCTTTGGGTGGAAAAAAGAGAGTCTCAACCTTCTAATCAAGATTCGGCCATCAGTACCTCTCATATTTGTTGACTGTATGATACCAAAGCACAGCCCTGAGTTCTTCCAAAGGTTCAGAAGCCTGGAACACACATAAGCCTCAGAAGTAAAGTAGTTCTAAGTTGTCCCCTAAGAATAAGTGAAAGTTAAATGACTTGTTTTTGCTTTGGTTGTGGGAAATGTGACTGTTTCTGGTAGATTATATCCAAGAAAATTCACTGGTAATTCTGTATAAATCTAAGTAAACATGACCAAGTCCCTGTCCCAAATGAAACCACGTCTATCCTCTCATCCCTGAGAACAAGGACCTGGAAGTGGGGAAAGACTACCAGAGAGCTCTCTGTAAAATGGTGTTGTTGAACCAGGCCCACTTTGCCCACCATGCAGTATGCCAATCACTGAGATGGCAAGTTTTGCAGCAGATAAAGTGTTTAGTGAGGAGACAGAAGGTCTCAGATCTGCATCCCAAAGATGAAGTTTAGGGATATTAACAGAATACAGGAGTAGAGCGGTCTGGGACATGGGGAAAGGTGACTGAAGGGAAGAAAAACTGAGGTAACTGGTGTTCTGCACACATGTAGTCTACTTTCATGTCTCTTCATAAGACACGTGTCTGAAAAATGGCAGTATTAGCATGCTCTTTCATCAGGATGTCAGCCATCAGACATTTGCACAGGCCCCGCTGAAGTCTGGGGTCTCACATAGTTTGGGTTTGGCAAGAGCTGCGTCTACATTTCTGAAAAACAATGTAGGCAGCCATTGTCACTGTGACCCATACATCAGAAATGATATCTGTAGGGAGACTGAAGGGATTCTTGTGATATCTTACTTAGCTACATGATATTCAGATTTAGTCATATTCCCCATCTAACTATCTTCTTTCAGGGGAGACAGTGAGAGAATCCACTGCCATTATTTGGATCTAATAGGAGGAATATAAACAAGTCAAGGGGAAGAACCATGGCCACCAAATAAGAGTGTGGTCATTTAAAGTTGTAATCTGAGTAGGCTGGACCCCATTTCCCAAATTTCTCAATTAGATGGACCGTAAGAAGTATTCTTGTGTCAGATTTGGAGTGCATAAGTGAAACAGCAGTTATTTAAATACACTGATGAGGAATCCCTTCATGACCAAATCTTAGTCAGGCTACTTTGAACCCTTTTCTTGAGTAGGCCTCATCTTTCACCAGTTGAACTTAGTTTAGCAAGTATTCCTTCACCTTTGACATCTAATCAAGTTCCTCTTAGTAATTTGTCATCCACGGATCCTCTCACTCTGCTCTGTCTTTGCTGGATTCTGAGTTGAACTCAGTTCTATATTTGAAGTCTTTCTTCCCTACTGCAGTAGCTTAAATAAATACTTTCTTACTATTTTGAACAAGTGTTCAGTGTAATTTTTTTTTACAAGACACATCATTTTGTATTTTGTATATGTTGACCCACATAGTTGCTGTCATTGTCAGGTATCTGCTGGCTTACCTCATTCGTGTGAGGCAGCGACTGAGACTGAACTCCACCTTCCCCAAACTGATTCTTCAGCTCTCCAGTTTCTGGGTCAGATGTGTGTGTTTAGTTCCATAATGATGGACCCCATCTTCTGCAAGATGCTCACATTATTGAGGTCAGAGGTAGTGGGAACTGACACAGATTTCAGTCCACCTCCATGGTCTTCAACTCAGGCTTGTGAGTTCCAGCTTGTTCCTACTCTCCCTTTTATTAGGTTGATACATAAGTTTGTAGCATTTGTTTTTGGCATGGCAATGCTGCGTGTTGGAAATTTGTTTATCATTTGTCATTTGGAGTGACAATGTTGTGCTCGTGAATATGCCTTGCGTTTTGCAGATTTGAAGGAAGTTAGTGCTATTTGTGGGTTAAAGAAGAGTGTCAAATGGAAAAAAAACACTTCTGACATATTCTTCTGTTTAAGTTTAACAGAGGAGTAAAGGCAGAGGAGGCAGCTCGAAATATTTGTGCTATGTATGAGAAGAGTGCTGTGTACAGGGAAAGCATGGCAAGAAAATGATTTCGTCATGTCAAAGAGGGCCACTTTGATCTGAGTGATTCTCCACATTCAGGAAGACCATTGACTGGCTTTGATGAAGAACATTTAAAACAGTGAAAAATGCTACAAACTTATGCATCACCCCAATACACATATTGCCCCTTCTGGATTACCTGAACTTCAATTTCCCAGCATCAAATTTGAGGACAGCAGCCTTGCAGAGACTGCTTAATTGCCTCGCAGAATTACATAAGGTTAAGCATTTATAACAAAGCAAATCCTTTAATTGTGATAAATATGTATATAGATGATAGAGATTCAGATGCAGATATAGCTATACATATAGATGACATAGATATTAATATAGAGGTTCTGCTTCTCTGATAGAGCCCTGACTGATAGAAAGGACAAAAGTCTACGTCATCTTATAAATCCCTGGTGTACTAGAGTGTTCAAGTAGGTTCTTGACTTGAAAAATAAAGAATGTGTGATAAGAGAGTTGAACAAGGGCATCAATTTTCATTTCTGTTCACTTTCCAAACTATCAGAAATTCCCCAAACTCAGGGGATAACATCTCCTGAAGCAGTGCCCTCTACTCTGAGGGAATACTCTTGAAAATTCTATGTGGTGCTACTACATCAAAGGGGAAGAGGTATAAGTCATTCAATATTAGGCTCAGCTACATAGCTTCTTCAATGCCCAGAGGAATATCTTTTGAAAACCATTTAAGTATGCTCAGCTTTTGGACAGGAACTTTGGGAAATTAAATGCAAAACTGTCATACTTATACCTTCTTATAAATGACTTGTGAAACAGGGAACTAAAAATAGAGAGGATACATTTTTGAAGGACATTAAGTTTGCCAACCAAAGAGGTAACAAAGTTATTTCTCCTTGTCTTTATTTTTCTTTCTCTGTAATTGCTCTACTAAAAGAGCTGTCATGATGACAGACCTGAAAGTGTCGATCTTACAGGGTATATATTATTAACGCAGTTAAACAGATATGCAAAAAGAGGAGTATAGATGATAAAGATCTTGTCCATTTCATCTGCCCTGGAAACAGAAGAGCCAGGATTTACAGCTGGTCCTGTGTTATACAAAGCCCATGATCTTTACATACAGGCATACCTCAAAATATTGTGGGTTTCATTCCAGACAACTGAAATAGAGCAAAATTACAACAGATTCACAGGAATTTTTTGGTTTCTCAGTGTGCATAGCAGTTATGCTCATACTGCATTCTAATAAGGATGTAAAAGCATTATGTCTAAAAATCAATTGTAGATACCTTAATTTAAAAATAGTTTATTGCTAGAAATGCTAATGATCATCTGAGTTTTCAGGAAATTGTAAACTTTTTGCTGGTAGAGGGTCTTGCCTTGATGTTGATGGCTGCTGATTAATTAGGGTGGTAGTTGCTGAAGATTAGCATGGCTGTAGCAGTTTCTTAAGACAATTAAGTTTTCAGCATCAATTGATTCTTCCTTTCATGAAAGAATTCTCTGTTGCATGAGTTACTTTTCAACAGCATTTTACCCATAGTAGAACTGATTTCAAAATAGAAGTTAATTCTTTCAAACATCGTTACTGCATTTATCAGCTAACTTTATGCAATATTCTAAATATTTTGTTGTATTTCAACAATGTTCACAGTATCTTCACCAAGTGAAAATTCCATCCCAAGAAACCACTTTCTTTGTTCATCCATAAGAAACAACTCCTCATCCATACCATCCATCCCATTTATCATGAACTTCCATCTTCAGGCTCCACTTCTAGATCTCTTGCTAGATCACCTACATCACATCTGCAATTACCTCCTCCACTGAATTTGTGAGCCCCTCAAAGACATTCATGAGGGTTGGATTCAACTTAATCTAGACTTCTGTAGATGTGAATGTTTTCACATCCTACCATGAATCACAAATGTTTTTTAATGGTATCTAGAATGATAAATCCTTTCTAGAAGGCTTCCAATTTACTTTGGTCATATCCATTAGATGAATCATTATAAACAACATCTATAGCATTGTAAAATGTACTTATTAAATAAGAAGACTTGAAAGCCAAAATTATTTTTTGATCACAGGCTGAAAAATGAGTATTGTGTTAGTAGG